CTTAGTGTAATTTCTCAAAATGGTTTTTCATTTTACAAGATTTTTTGAAAATTATCGTGTCAAACATACAACTAAAACCTTTTAAGTACTAGTAGTATACATAATAAATTATCGTGTCAAACATACAACTAAAACCTTTTAAGTACTAGTAGTATACATAATAAATTATCGTGTCAAACATACAACTAAAACCTTTTAAGTACTAGTAGTATACACGATAGAAGTTATGGTCTTATGTCTACCAAACATACACTACGAGTTAATTAGTCTATATTACTCCGCATTAAATAAGAGTAAATTGCCTAAAAAGGAGTAAAAAAAGTTTTGAAATTCCAAAATAGGACTATCATGTTTTTTACTCCCTAAATATGAGTAAATTTCTGCCAAGTTTGACATTACTAGACTTTTAAATGTGTCATTTTTTTCAAATTTAGCAGATTACTCTTATTTAAGGAATAAAAAACATGATACTCCCATTTTAGAATTTCAAAGCGTTTTTATTCCTATTTAGAACAATTTCTGATTAAATAATAATTTCACACGAATATTAAGATTGGTTCTGTCTACCGGTGGGCGTAGCTCAACTGGTAGCAAGGGAGTGCCACAAGGGTTAGGTCTAGGGTTCGAATCCCGGCAACTGCGATGAGATGTTACTATGCTAAAAATGCATAGAGTCTCTGCAAGTACCGAGGACAAAGCCCCACTCTCTATCTGTCAGATTGGAATTATAGTTCAATTTACATTCTCCCAACATACCGTCCGATCGGGGTTGGGGGCCCTCAGGGATGGGGTGTCATCTCAGATTCTGTCTGTATACTACTCCGTATGATGCAGTACTAATTATTGACTCCGTATATATGATATGGTCACTCTCTTCTCCATTCCTTGGTGCTCCATCCCTGTCATATATTCATTGCACCATCCACGTGGATGCCAGTACATATAAATTGGTATTGTATGTACTTTTACACCCATATTTTTTTTAATAAATGGCAATCAAATGTACTCCCTCCGTCCCGTTGGAATGTTCCTGCTTTCCTGTTTTGGATGTCCTGTTGGAAAATTCTCATTTCTCTAAATGGAAAGTTATCCTACATCAAAACAGTGTCAAACAGTGCAAAACAGTGTCAAACAGTGTCGAAATAGTGCCAAACAGTGTCGAAACAGTGTCAAAACAGTAAAATTTACCCCCTGGTAAGTTTATTTTCTTAATATGTGTGTAGGTCAAACCGGGAACATTCCAACGGGACGGAGGGAGTATAATTTATTCGTTTAAAAAATCATTGTAGCTTAATCAATCAACACGTTACATACTCACTGATTGATTGCCATTACGGGTGGGCGTAGCCCAACACGTAGCGAGGGAGTGTCACAAGGGTTAGGTCCCGGATTCGAATGTCGGCATGCAACTGCGATGAAAGGTGACTATGCTAAATGCTAGGGTCTTTGTAAGTAACAGGGACAGAGTTCCACTCTCTATCTGTTAGATTGAGATTATAGTCTAATTTACGTCCTTCCAACGTATCGTCTGGTCGGGATTTGGGGACCCTCGATTGGGGTGTCATCCTTTTTTTACTGATTGATTGCCATTTGCCAACATGTCGACCACTTCTGCTCTCACAGCCGTTGGAATGTTGGACAGATATAAAACAATACATAAAAGCAAAATCAAATGCCAATAAAATAAAGAACTTAGAAATACGTTATAAGCTCATAACTTAGAAATTATTATTAACCGTGACTAACAATAAAAAATTTAGAAGTCAGAACCCTGACTAAGGATGTTTTTACATACGGAGTACTTGAATTGAAATTTTCTGATTTAATTTGATTAAGTCTAGTCCGGTATGAATTGATCTGGTATGGTATATGTATGGTCTTTGGATATTTTAACTATCGAAGTCCATCCTGGTCTGATCTATTTAATTTTATATACATTAGCGTGAATTTAAATATATTAATAAAATATATTTTAAATACTCTGCATAATTTTTTTTCCCAATTCAACAAATTGAGCCAATTTCAACCGATTCAGCCAAAACTTCATGAATTTAAGCAGATTCAGCCTGTCACTCAATGTCACTCAATTTGAATCTTACCAGATGGTCTCTGTATAAAAATAGCTGAAATAGTTTTATTTGTCAAATTTTATCAATTTTGACAAAAAAAATATTCCAGCTTTGTTTATTTTGATTAACACACAATTTATTGCATTGATTTTTTTACGTATTTATTAAAGAAATTATGATAAGTTGAAATATGTGGTTATTAGATTATCTCCAATGCAAATATGTGAGTGATGCATACATGGCATGAGATAGATAAACACATAAAAAATAATAAGTAGAATATCTATCTCCTTATTTGAATGATTTTATATATTTTTAGTAAGTTTTTCTTGACAATTTCAAGTACAATGTCTACAATGTCTAGATGTTTACATTGTTGAAAAAACTTACCAAAAACACACAAGACCATGGAAAAAATAAGAGAGAAATGTAAAGAATTTATTTTTTGTATCTGTGCCTATTGTGTCACATATGTACCACACACATTATAATATTATATTGGAGATGGGGTACAATGTCTACAATATCTAAATGTTTAAATTATGATTGACATTGTAGGGAAAAAACTTACCAAAAACAAATAAGACCATGAAAAATAACAAAGAAATGTAATGAATTTATTCTTTTGTATCTATGTCTATCGTGTCACATATGCGTACATTATAGTATTTGAAGACGGGGTTAAGTAACTCTGAAAATAAAAGGATGACAAGCTCCAAATATTGTTCATGGATTTTTGTGGACAATTCAATAATTAACTGAAAAATTGATAAGAATAATCACACCTTTGATTGATCTTCTTATAATAATCTCATCTTTACGTAATCTCAGAATAATCCTATTTTTGCTTATTGATTGATGACCACACGCATCTTCTCTTGTTGGATCTGGACTTATTAATGACCTACTATACTAGGTTTTTGCTTTTTCTTTGAAAATCTTACATAAATAATCTCACTTTTCATAAATTTCCTTAAAATAGTCTCATGTTTACATTTTTTCTTTTCTGCCTAAAATTTTTCTTTCTTTATTTTTATCCCTATACACTATTCTTTTTTCCATCCTTTAGTTCTTACTTCACTTTCCAATTTATTATTCTATTTCTCGTTCTATTAGGATAGTTTTTTTGTAAAATTTTCTTCGCAAATATTTTTTTTGTCATTTTCTTTTTCTTCCCGTGTTTTTATTTTATTTCCCTTTTATGTTTCTTTTCTTAATCATTCTCTTTTTATTAAAGATCTTTTTCACACTCTACTTTTTGTTATATTTTATTTTTTTCACTAGTTTTCCCCTTTTTTCTTCATATTACTTTTTTATGTTTTTTCTTCTTCCTTCTTCTCTTTCTTGTTATCTTAATTCCACCCTCAAAACATTTTATCTCCTCTCTTCACTATAGTATTTTTCTGAGCAAATCAGCCCATTAATTCCACCCACGGTAGGAAATACTCTATGTGATAAAAAGATTAGGGAAAAATAAAAATTTAAAGAAAAATATAACATTTGGGAAATAAAAATAAAAATAAAACATTCGGGAAAATGTAATTTTTCTTTCTTATAATTTCTCAAATGTTTTATTTTTCTTTCAATTTTATTTAGGGAAAATGGAAACTAATAATTCAACATTTTAACGGTTTTCTTACAATAGTCCCACCTTTTCATTATTCATGAATAATCCAACCTTTGCACCCCATCTTCATTCACTGGGTCCTGACCGATTTATGACCTGTTATTCCAAGTTATTTTCTTATCTTTGCAAAACATTATACCATAATTCCCACCTTATGATCACATAATATTTTGCAAAGATAAGAAAATAACTTGGAATAACATGTCATAAATCGATCAGGAACCAGTGAATGAAGATGAGGTGAAAATGTTGGATTATTCATGAAGAATGAAAATGTAGGACTATTGTAAGAAGACCGCTAAAAGATTGGATTATTACTTTCCATTTTTCCTTTTATTTTTCCCTAAACTTTTTCACATAGATTTTTCCCATAGTTGATAGAATTAATGAATGGACTAACTTAGAAAGATATGATTATACAAAAAAAAGAAAAAATATATTAATGATGGAATTAAGATCACAAAAAGAAAGAAGAAAAAACAACAGTAACATGTAGAAAAAGGGGAAAGTGAAAATAAAAACAAAATATAACAAAAAGTAGAGTGAGAAGAAGATCATTAATAAAAAGAGAATGATTAAGAAAAGAATCACATAAAAAGAGAAATGAAATAAAAATACATGAAGGAAAAAGAAAATGATAAAAAAATATATTTGGGAAGGAAATTTTACAAAAAAACACTCTTAATAGAGTGAGATATAAAATAATAAATATAAAAAAAATAAGAGCAAAAGGATTGAAAAGGAATACAAAAGTGTCTAAAGATAAAAAATAAAGAAAGAAAAGTTTTAGGGATAAAAAGAAAAAATGAAACACAGAAATGTTTTGAGCGGTTATATGAAAGGTAGGATTATTTATGTAAGCTTTGCAAGAAAAAAACAAAAAAAAAGATTTCATATAATAGATTATAACTGGTCAGGATCCAAAAGAAGAAGACATGGAAAGTTGAGGTACCGGTGGGCGTAACTTGACTGATAGCGAGAGAGTGACACAAGGGTTAGGTCCCGGGTTTAAATCACGACAACTGCGATGAGAGGTTACTAATATACTATGTTAAAATATGCATAGGACCTCTGCAATTACCGGGGACAGAACCCCACTCTCTATCTGTCAGATTGGAATTATAGTCCAATTTACATCCTCCTAACGTACCGTACGGTCGGGATTGGAGCCCTCAGAGATGGGGTCATTTTTTTTATGGAAAGTTGAGGTTATTCTTGTAAAATTTTCCTTAGTTAACCTACAGAGTATGATTGGTTAGAATACACATCATATACTGAGAGCAGGCACGAAATAAATACAATGGGGGAGCCACTAGGTGGCTGGCGCCTGGCTATATATAAAGCAATCAAGAATGGAAGAATTCTCTTGAAAAAGGTCACGAGTCACACCCACTGCACTACACGACACTTCGCCACCCGGAAGAGAAGAAACTTACGGCATTTCTTATACTCTCACTTCTCTGCGTTACCAAATCTCACTTCCCAAAGATCTAAAAATCAAGTCTTGATTGGCAGATCCCATCATCAACTTCTGGGTTCAAGTTTCATTCTCTTCAAAACTTGGTACATTTCTTGTTCACAGTTCTCCTGATCAACTTCACTCGGCCTTTAGCCCTTCACTTTCTGCATCATAATTTCATATCGATTTGCTCTTTCTTACTTTCCTACTTATAGCTACTTCCATTTATTGATTTCTTGATGAATGCATGGTGTTTATCATTGTATGATCAGTAAAAACCAAGTCTGTGAGTTGAGAGTTTCTCTCTTGGGAAATGTTGTCAAAATTCCTCCTAGTTGCCCACGCCATGATGCTCTTTGCTACTTATTAGCTTGGGTTCTTGTTCCGATTCTTGGTGTACCTCATTCGTTAATCACAGGATTTGTGTTTAACCGAATTTCCAATGAAAAATCACCCCAAAAGCTACTGAATTTCGTAGATTGGTTTTTTTCTGGCGGCTGCAGGGCTTGGCTCCAAAAACTAAATATGGAATGGAGTTCGCCTCGATCTGGCGCACCTCCTAATATTTTTAGCTTAATTTTCTAAGTAAAAACCAAGACTTTCCACTGTAGTTTTGTAGATCTCACCCGGAACGTCTAGTTTCATATGTTTCTGAATTTTTAACGTTTCTCATTGTTGTGATGAATCTGCATATCTAATTAGCCTGCTTGTGCCCATTTATTTATTTGCAGTGGAGAGTGATCTGAAATGGCCATTTGTGCTACCTTGAAGTCTACTGCCCACTTCCCCAGAGAGTCTGAGTTTTGGGGAGAGAGGATCAGAGGCAGTCTAAAGAACCATTCATTTGCTGGTCAGTTCCGGAAAAGTTTGAGGCTTGAAGGAAAGAAGAAGCAGAAGGTCAAAGCTGGGGTTGCATTCTCTGTTCTCACTGCTGAAAATGGAAGAGAGACTGTGGTAAATCTCCATTTACTTTTTCTACGTTTATTGAAGTACACTTTATGAGTGAAGAATTGGTGACTGATTGTATGTTTTTAAGAATCACACCTCGAATTAGTACAGAGTCTACAGACTACAAACCAGTTTGGTGCCCTGATTCGGTTTATTCTGGTTATCAGCAGAATAAGCATTTGAAGGTGAATCAGAGGGTGTTCGTTAAGACTGAAATTGGAATGGCTAAAGTTACAGTATTCAAAACTGCCTAATCAGCTGAGTTAATGAAAAACATACTGTATCTTTTTGTTAATAAAGAAAATATAATATGACAAAAAACTGCAATGCTCATTTTCAAAAAGTTCAGCCCAAAAAGTACCTCCATACTTAATTTCATTATTAACCAATTCATCTTATGAAAAAAAAAAAAATAGTGTGGTAAAACTTCAGTCCTAAAAATTTCATTGAATTAGACTAATCAATTCATTGGATTCATTATTTTAGCGTGATTTGATGCATGTACATAACTGAGCAACTCAGACCCAATTACGAGTGTTATCATTGTGTTGTGCTTTATTTCCCCACACTGATGATCCATAAATGTGTAATGCATAGACTATAGATGTACCAAGACGGGAGAGACGTCGGGCGGATCCTAAAAACGTGGCTGCAATCATCCTGGGAGGTGGGCCTGGGACGCAACTATTCCCTCTTACCAACAGAGCTGCAACTCCAGCTGTAAGATGATATGTATATGGATGGGTGTTCATATATTTCCTTCTAAATGCTATTGTAAAAAGTAAAGCTTTTTATTTATTGAGTCATAGTGTGATTGTGATTTGATTGAAATGCAGGTTCCAGTTGGAGGGTGCTATAGGATGATAGACATCCCAATGAGCAATTGCATCAACAGCGGAGTTAACAAGATCTTTGTCCTGACTCAGTTCAATTCTGCTTCTCTAAACCGTCACATTTCCCGCACCTACTTTGGCAATGGTGTGAACTTCGGAGAGGGTTTTGTTGAGGTTAGTTCTTTCTTTGACCCCCAAACTACATTCTTATTAGTATTTGTGCCACACCATTGTTAGCTATATGCCTATATATAACAAGAATTTTTAAAAGAAGTGAGGAAATTGTAAAATTGGGTCTAATTCATCCCAGAAAAATCATTGATCTTTACCTCACACTTATATACTAGACCAAAACCAAGTATCATGCTTGTTTGGATCTCAAATAGGAAAGATAAATAGACAATGTTGGCTTAATAAGTCTTTGAGTTGAACTAGCTAATTGATTGGATTCAATCTCTTAGTTTGGTTTGACTCTAGTGCGTAGTGTTCAATTTAACGACCCCAACCCAATCTTTACCGCTAATATATGTACCTTTAAATAGGTGTTGGCTGCAACCCAAACACAAGGGGAAACTGGAATGGAGTGGTTTAAAGGAACAGCAGATGCTGTTAGACAATTTACATGGGTATTTGAGGTAAGCTTCATTCAAACTTTATGAGTTTGATAATCCACTATTGTGTTAGGTAATTGATTTGGACATTTTTATGATTTTAATTGCAGGATGCTAAGAACAAGGATGTTGATAATATAGTCATTTTGTCAGGCGATCAACTTTATCGCATGGATTACATGGACTTGGTGCAGGTGTGCCTATTTTGAAATTATTTTATTTGGCATTTCCTATTAAATAATGAAAATATCTAACACTGCATTTGTTCAATTGTAAAACAGAATCACATTGATCGCAATTCTGATATTACTATTTCGTGTGCTGCAGCAGGAGAGAGGTATAAAACTCTCCATATGAGAATTTAATCAGCACTGTCTTCATTATACTAGTACTTTTCTATTATGTAGATATTTTAAGAGTAGTCACTCTGAAAGACCTACATCGAGTTATTAAGGAGAAACAAGTGAATTTATAACATCTGGGATCAGACTCGCTGATTGATTGGATTCAATCTTTTAGTATGATTGATTTTTCAATCTGCATTATGACTTTATTAAGTGATTCAATTATGACTTATGAGGTGTTTCATTTCTGAAATTGATTTACTTTGCAGCCGAGCATCGGATTTTGGGCTGGTGAAAATTGACAGATGGGGCAAAGTAGTCCAGTTTTCTGAGAAACCCAAGAGAGGTGATCTGAAAGCCATGGTAGGAAAATTAGACCATAGTATCCCTGCTTGAACATTTAGAACTTCTATTAGGCTAATAGTTCTTTCTGTTTGTATGGCAGGAAGTAGACACTACTCTCTTGGGATTGTCACCTCAAGATGCCAAAGTTAACCCTTATATAGCTTCAATGGGAGTTTATGTGTTTAGGAGAGATGTCCTTTTGAGGCTGTTGAAGTGGAGATATCCCACATCCAATGACTTTGGATCCGAGATTCTCCCCGCTGCTGTGATGGATCACAATGTCCAAGTATGATTAATTAACTTTTGTTTCCTTTTTGCGTTATGTACTCCCCAGTCCCCACTTTGTATTATTAACTTGATAAAACTGTCTTTACAGGCTTATGTTTTCAGAGACTACTGGGAGGATATTGGGACAATAAAATCATTCTATGATGCTAACTTGGCCCTAACTGAAGAGGTATTTGTTACATACTCTTTTCTGCACTTCTCCACTATTTAATTCTTTTGTGTCATATTAAATTTGCTACTTCTCTGTTGTAGTCGCCAAAGTTTCAGTTCTATGATCCAAAGACACCTTTCTATACATCCCCGCGATTTCTACCACCAACCAAAATTGACAACTGCACGGTAATATGCTAAAATGACATGTAACTTTAATAATAATGCATTCAGAATGGTTGAATCTGAGAACTGATTTTATTTTATATTTAGATCAAGGATGCAATAGTTTCTCATGGGTGTTTCTTACGAGAGTGCGCTGTGGAGCACTCCATTGTTGGTGAACGTTCACGGTTAGATGGTGGCGTTGAATTGAAGGTTAGTGTTCTTATTTTCTGCAATGGGAAATAATCTGCTAAGCCATTCCACATTGGCCAAACACAAATATATATTCTCATATAAAGCTTTGAGCTACTCCTCTTATATCTTAAGATAGAATTCCAAGTCTAAATACCATCTTGATAAAATATAAAAGATCTAACCGGTGTACAAGTATAAGGGGTCATCTACTGCTATATCACAAGCCTAAAAATAGTGAACCGTGAATTTTTATTCATAAGAAGATTGTTCTTACTTTTCTTTTTGGTTCAAACAGGATACTTTAATGATGGGAGCAGATTACTATGAAACAGAATCTGAAATTGCCTCACTTCTAGCCGAGGGAAAGGTGCCAATTGGAATTGGAGAAAACACAAAAATTAGGTAAATATACATCTAATATAAATTCAGAAATGTATATGCACTTGTACTGCAAATTCTAAGAACAATTCCTCAAATTCACAGGAATGCTATCATTGACAAGAACGCAAGGATTGGTAAAGATGTCGTCATCCTGAATAAAGATGTGAGCCAATCTTTTTTTATCATTGTGAAGAAGAGGATTGTTTGTTTTTCAAATTTGATCACAAAATTTTGTGAATTTGATAATAACTCAGGGTGTCCAAGAAGCAGACAGGCCAGATGCAGGTTTCTACATTAGGTCAGGGATTACTATTATAATGGAGAAGGCAACTATTCCTGATGGAACTGTCATATAATAACATGAGCAGAGCAGAAGAAGGTTCTTGGTTAAACTATGTTCCAGTAAAGACTCACAACAAGATATTTTCTGCAAGTTTATGAAGACTGAAGAGAAGCACAACTGAAGCAGATCAAACAAAAATGTCCCAAAAAAAATTAATGTAGAACTGTTCAAGAGTATGTAAGATAAATCCAATTTTCATTCAGATCATTAATAATACTAAAGATGGCTATTTAGCTGTGGTTGTAAAAGCTTTTGATTATAATAGCTAGAAAGCTCAGCATCAAGTTTCATTCTCATTCTCCTTATTATTGTTATTTTATTGTTATTATTTACGAGTATTATTTTTTCATTCTTCCAAAACAAAAACTGATTAATGGGGTAAATGAAGGAAAGTAATCATCAATAGTACTTTCCAGGATAGGGTTAGAAGCTGAAAAAAAGGTGGGGAGATGGTAGGGTGGGATTAATATTTTTTAAAAAAATAAAACAAAAATGGGACATATTGGTGGACTCGGACTAGGTGGCTCAACCCGGAACCGGCCCGGGACCGGCACTGTTTCGGCCCGGCTCGAACCTGTGGCCCGGTCAGTGACTGGTCCGGGTAGGCCTGACCCGAGGGGTTTCCGGTCCGGGCTCGAGTCACCCAAAAGAAGGCTCAGCCCGACTGGGCCCGGTTCGGGCCAAATTGAATTTTTTTTTGGTTTTTTCATTTGTTTGGGCTCCACCCGGGTTGGGCTTGATGTTTAGGAGGGGTTTGGGGGGTGGGGGGATCAGGGATAGGTAGGTACCAAAAAAATTAACTAAGCCTGAGGCTCGGCTCGGCCTGACCCGGAACCGGACTGGACCCGGTGGCTACCCGGGCCGGTCCCGGGTCCACCTATTCGGACCCGGCCCGGCCCGAATCCACCCCTAATGGGACATGATCGAGACTGCCTAGGGGATAGGGGACCAGAACTGGAAAACGAGGTCCCGGTTCCCATTCCCCCAAGGACCGGTTAGTTTGGAACCAAAACAAAACCGGATTCACCCTAGATACATGTCATTAAGTTTCACTTATTATGATAGCACACAAAATTAAACAATGTAATATGAACAAATAATAAAGCGGCGGTAAAAGATTGACTTTGTCTCTTTTTTCTATGATTTGTTATATGATTATATCTAGGTTAGTCGTGTTTTTCCTTTTTTTTTTTGTAAAAAGTCATAATAACATCACTATGAACATTAGAAAAGGAACAAGTATTTTTAGGCTATCTTAAAAAAGGTACACGATTTTTATAAATATGATTATATATTATTTTCCGGTATAAAATATATAGGAAATTATAGATTTAGAAATCTGACTTATGCTGTGTTAATTACTATTGTAACATAGTTCGCAAATCCCATCTTGTAACTAATAAAATTATTTATATTGTAATACGACTATACGAGTAACTTTTCATCGGAAAAAACTGTTTCAGTTGAAATTTTCATGGAGTGCAACTTTACTGATGCGCATTTCAGCGGAAATGACACATTCTAGTGGAAAATCCTTAATTTGATACTCATCCGTCTCATTCAACTTTGCTAACTTTCCTTTTTTGTTTGTCCCAAAAAACTTCGTCAATTTTCTTTTAAAGCAATGTTTTTGTGGCTCGATTCATTTCTCTCTTCTCTGCACAAACCTCAACCACACAAATTTTACTATTCTAATCTCCCACTAACATCAACTTGGCAAAGTTGAGTGAGACAGAGGTAATAAGTTTTATAGTTCAAGACTAGCTAATATGTAATTTTTGAAAGGAAAAATTGACAAGAATAATCCCACATTTCACTGGTTTTCTCATAATAATCTCACATTTATATAATTCCAGAATAATCTCACTTTTGCATCTCATCTTCTTTTGTTGGACTCTGACCTATTGATGACCTACTATACCAGGTTTCTTACTCTTTCTTTGGAAACCTTATACTCCGTATAAATAATCTCACCTTTCACAAATCTGCTCAAAACGGTGTGCCATGTTTCATTTTTTTCTCCCTAAAATTTTTATTTCTTTATTTTCATCCCTAGACACTTTTCTTATTACTTTTTCTATCATTTTGTTCTTATTTCTTTTTCATTTTTATTATTCTATTTCTCACTCTATTAGGAAAGATTTTTGTTTTGTAAAATTTCTCTTCAAAATAGCTCTTTTTTGTCGTTTTCTTTTTCTTTTCATATTTTTATTTCATTTCCCTTTACATGTTTTTCTTCTTAATCATTCTCTTCTTATTAAAGATCTTTTTCCCACTACTTTTTGTTATATTTTCTTTTTATTTTCACTTTCCCACTTTTTTCTTCTTATTTTTTTTTGTTTTTTATTCTTTCTTCTTGTTAGCTTAATTCCACCATCAATATGTTTTTTCTCCTTTCTTCATTATCATATTTTTCAAAGTAAATCCACCCATTGATTTCATCAATTGTGGGAAAAACTCTATGTGATAAAATGATTATGGAAAAATAAAACATTTGAGAAATGTAAAGCAAAATAAACATTCGGGAAAATGTAATTTTTTCTTTCTTTCATTTTTGCGAATGTTTTATTTTTCTTTTAAATTAATTCTTCCCTAACCCTTTTGTCACATAGAGTTTTTCACATAGTTTGTGTAATTAATGGGTGGACTTACTTAGAAAATATGATAATGTAGAAAGGAGAAAAATATATTGATGGTGGAATTAAGATAAAAAGAAGAAAAAACATAAAAAATAACAAGAAGAAAGAAGTGGAAAAGTGAAAATAAAAAGAAAACATAACAAAAAGTAAAGTGGGAAAAATATCTTTAATTAGAAGAGAATGATTAAGAAGAAAAATATAAAAAGGGAAATGAAATAAAAATACGGAAAGAAAAAGAAACGACAAAAAAGAGCTATTTTGAAGAGAAATTTTACAAAAAAAAAACTCCTAATAGAGTAAGAAATAGAATAAAAAAAATGGAAAAGAAACAAAAGGATAGAAAAAGGAATAAAAAGTGTTTAGGGATGAAAATAAAGAAAGAAAAAATAAAATATGGGACTGTTTTAAGCAGACTTATGAAAAGTGAGATTATTTATATAAGAGTTTTAAAGAAATGGTAAAAAACCTGGTATAGCAGGTCATAAACAGGTCAGGATCCAACGAAAGAAGATAGGTGCAAATGTGGAATTATTGTGGGATTACGTAAAGGTGAGATTATTATGAGAAAACTAATGAAAGGTGAGATTATTTTTGTCAATTTTTTCTTTTTGAAATGTGTGATTGTGTGTTATCATACAAAAATGTTATAATCAATCGTTACTTATTCATTTGATAATTCGTCAATGATATGTTGTTTAACAAACTCGCTAAGGTTGAACATGCTTGTTCCTTGATTATAAAAATATGGATGTAAGGAAACAAAAAAAAATTAAGCTGGATTTAGCTTGAGCCTTGACATGATCAGTACTCGTAGTTGTTAATTTAAAGAATCTCTAATGCGGAGTACTATGTTGTATACGATGCACATATGAAATGAGAAAGATAGACACAAGAATAAATTCATAACATTTCTCTTTCATTCTTTCCACAATGTCTACATCTAGATTTTGTACTTTAATTGTGAAGAAATACTTATAAAAAACATTACAATTGTTCAAATGAGGAGAGAGATATTTTGCTTATTAATTTTTATATTTCACATATTAATAATGATAAATATATTTTACTTATTAATAAATGAGCAATGACCGGTTATAATATTTCAGAGTGTTTACCATTTTTTGTCCTCCGACTAATGAATTTTAAAATAAATGAAGAAAAGACAAAAAATCCATTAAACTTTTTTAGACAGTCACCGGCAATAGTTGCTGTAGTTGCCAATGAAGCAGGGGTGCGGGTGGGCAAGTGGATATGGGTTAGAAGGAGAGGAAGTTAAACAAAGGTGAAGTCACTTTTTCAGTTTTTCTATAAAGGACAACCCAATCCGGTGATGTACACATCTGGGATTCTGGGAGAAAAGCAGAGCTAGTGTGTGCAACAGTGGCTCAATTTACTTTCATACTGCCATGGGCCATGAATTGAGCTGATATATAATACCCCCTCCGTCCCGTTGGAATGTTCCCGCTTTCCTTTTTTGGATGTCCCGTTGGAAAGTTCTCATTTCCCTAAATGGAAAGTTATCCTACATCAAAACAGGGTCAAACAGTGCAAAACAGTGTTAAACAGTGTCGAAACAGTAAAATTTACCCCCCGGTAAGTTTATTTCCTTAATACTCGTATGTGTGTAGGTCAAACCGGGAACATTCCAACGGGACGGAGGGATTATTATATACGAAGTATATACTATTAATTGACACTTTAACTTCACACATAATGTAGAGTACACTGTTGTGACACTGTTTGGCACTGTTTTGCTCTGTTTTGGTGTAGATTTGTTTGCCAAATAAGGAAGTGTAAACTTGGTTGGGACGTCCAAAAAAAGTAAAGTGTAAACTTAAATAAGAATCGAAGAGAATAGAGTATATGGAAAAGATTCCAAAACTGAACCACTCTCCATCATTTATTTTCAATCATAAGAACACATGTTTTTGCCAGATGGGAAGGGATAAGAGATGTGTTAAAACTACTTCACTTTTGCCAGAAAGCGTATTACGACGCTCACATGGCCAGAAAATTACTCGTATTACATTATTTTAGGGAAACTTGGGGCTACATACTAATCCTAAACAATTGTGAACTCAAAATAAGTAAAGACATCATATACTGAAGTGCAGATTATTAAAGACAACATATACTTAATATTGGTCATACAAAGACTGATGATATTTATGCAATCATAGCACAAAGAGAAGTGCAAAAAATATATAATTTCACAACAGCATATCAAGAAACTCACTTATGGTGGTATATTTTATATGCGGATATAGTTGTGTCCCTTCCAATCCACCAGCCGTTTCAACATCAAAATAGGTCTGGTCACCTTTGACAAATGCAGAGTATATGAAAACCATCTCCATATTGTCTGGGTAGGGAGTTTCTGAAATTAAACAACAAATTCAAACTCTCATAGTATATCCTGAGCTGAAATTAAGCTCAATCCTATCTTTGCAAAAACTTCATTTTGTGCACTTTAAACAAAGTAGTGGAGGGGGTAATACAAACAATTGACACACCTTTTATTTTCAGTAGGAGTTCCTCTTCTGATACATATTCCTTTTCCAGTTTCTTATTAATCTTTGACTCCCATAACTCAACCAACTCGTTCATAGAACAGACATTTCCTGCAGGTCTAAGGTATATCACTTTGTTCAAAGTTCGCGGATCATCCACTGTACTGATGGTAAAAGCTGCCACATCACTTTCTTTTACAAAGATACCTGGAAATCACTTTTTGCACAGCAAAAGGCATCGGCCTTTAGCTGAACGGTCTATATCAAATGGGTAGTAGTTGCCCCCCCCCCCAAGGTTTCATCAAATTACAAAATTGCCTTCATTGTTTTTGAAAATTACAACTATGTCCCTTGATTAGTTAGATTACTGCAAAAAGACCTTTTTAAACATTGATAGATTATAAAATCATGAGGTCGCCAAGAATTACTCGTAATCAAACTGGAGCTAGTAAATCAAATTCATTTATGTATTAAATCATTTTTAAAAATGCTAAAAAACTCTGAGGAAAATACTGATGGTATTTAGTCCAAAACTCTACTTCTACCAATTACATCATATTTATCATCTTTCAGTATCATTTACTGAAAATCCGATTGGTTAAGGTACTTAATACTCCCTCCGTCCCTATATAAAAGTATCCATTCGTTTTCCATACATTTTAAGAAAGTGGGATCGATTGGTACTGTTTGGTACTGTTTGGCACTGTTTGGACACTGTTTGGCACTGTTTTGCACTGTTTTGCACTGTTTTGTTTGCCAAAAAAGGAAAGAGAACTTTTATTTAGGGACGGTCCGAAAAGGAAACAGATGCTTTTATTTAGGGACGGAGGGAGTAGTAATTTCTACAAATGTTGAGGGTCATTTGGAAGTTTGACCAAACCTTGGGGAGGTAGATGCAATTGACCCAAACAAATTGGTCAAATGGAGTGTCATATGATCACATCTGACCTTTGGCAGTTCCATCTCCAAATATTCTGACTTTGTCTCTTGGAGGGTTTCTCAGACCGGGCTGAATAAGAGAGGGCAACAAATAACTTGTGAAGAAGTTGCAGCAGATGGAGGTGTAAGGAATGCCTTCAGCTTCTACAAGGCGTCTTATCTCAGCTTTGTTTGAATAGAAGTTGTTGTCCATGTTGGATAACCGTGTTTTGTTAGGATCCATCCCAAACTCTGAAGGGATGAACCTCTGCAACAATGTATATCAGCCCAATTAAGTTACTACACGCATTGATAACATACATAATACTGACAATATGAAAATCTGCAAGTTTGTTTCCAAAATTTTAATTTCCAGCATAGTTTGATTTAAGAGCTCTTAAACAACTTCTCAAAACTTAATTATGTTGTTAGACTAAGGCCAGATTTAGTAGCCACTTCTTGCTTTATTGTGCTTGCAGAAGAAGCAAAATAAGTAGCTTTTCACTTATTTTGCTGACATAGATGTTACTAAGCACATTGCCTTAGAGAAAAACAATCAGCAGATCAAACCATTTTAGCCTAATAACCTTTACTAAACATGCACCAAGTGTACCTGCAAATCTACAATGCATGAGCCTTCCACTCCATGCTCCAACCATTTACTTTGCCTCAAACTACCAGGTATAATAGTATAATACACATGGTCTCCACTACATATTGTGATGATAATTTGTTTTAAAAAACGATACAACAACAACATCCAAGCCTTAGTCCCAAAAGATATTGGGGTCGGCTAACATGAATCGATACATGATATCACCACCAAAAGGAAAAGAAAGAAAATAAAAATAAAAAAGATAAGCTATTATAAAAAGATAATATAAAAAGAGATGAATATACATAAAAATGATAAAATAAAAAGGATACAAAAAATGCTTATATATAAGGATAAAAAACAAGGAAAAAAAGATGAGGGGAAAAGATGATACGAGATCACTCCTCCACATGTTTTAAAAAACGATACTACCTACGTCCCACTAAGATTGGGACGAGAGAAGGTGGCACGATTATTAAGAAAAGTGAGTTTGTGTGGTTGATATTAAATTGATAATGTAAGAATAAAGTAAGAATGACTTAGAGCCACACAATCTTTACCAAATTTGGTCATCATTTTTCATCATTTTCATTTACCCCAGTGCCGCAAAGGCTCCCACCTACGGTGGGGTAAGGGGGGTCGGATGTACGCAGTCTTACCCCTATACTAAAGCACAGAGAGACTGTTTCCGGATGACCCATAGTGAAAATCGCGTCCAAAATTGCATGGACTGACTGTTGCTTCATTACAAAGAAGCGCAGACAGTATACTGAGCCATTTTGCTTTATTCCATCATAATCTCAAGCCAAAAAATAATGAATCTTTGGCTCCATTGCAAATGATGGAACTTTACCAAATTTGGTATGAGACAATTTTAGTGGGACTTCCCGAAAAGGTAAAATGGGACAATCTTAGCGGGACGGAGGGAGTATATTTTAAAAAATCAACCCCTTTATCAATATAAGTGATAGGAAGTATTACTCCCTTGGTCTCCATTTCCTCTTTCATCATTTGGTTGTGCACCAATTTTAGAAATGTGGGCTCCACATGTGGAAAGAGTGAAAAATGAAAGAGAAGGAAATATTAGGTAACATTTTACTTGAACAGAAAATAGTAGAGGAAACTTTGAAGAGGAACAAAAACGGAAAAGGACATTTAGAGATGGAGGGATTACTTATTAAACATGAATACTTTAGGAATGAGGTTCAGAACTAACAAGCACTGGTTTGTGGATAAAGGTCATACCTAGTCTCATACAAAAATTTACAGGATATAAAATTATATTGAAAAGACCTTCATTTACAAAAAAAATAAACTTTTTAGGTGAATGGCTATTAATTTGATAATAATTCATCTCTCAACTTTTCAAAATGTACTAAGCTTAATAGCAAATGTCTAAAATACCCCCACCTCCATAAAAACTTATTCGTTTTTCATTAAGTACATTAAGAATATTTTAAAGTTATGGTTGACGAACCAAAACAATGATAAAGTTAAAATGTACAAATAGTTGTGTGAACTCATCTCGTCTGATTAAATTTCATACAAATGGAAAAAAATCCACGTAGATTGTGTGGCCTAGGTTTGTTGCACAATGGCTTCCATCTTCAATTTGTGTAACTGTCCTTCTTTGCATTGATTTATACTTTTAACTAATTTTACATTATTAGTTTACACCAAAGATTCATGTAATCGGAACAATAATGGGCTTTGGGTGAAGATTAAAAATTGTATCAATTCTAACCAAGAGGGAGATAAATAATACCTTGCAGCAACCAGCTTTTTTTATAGCAGGAAGAAGAAACTTTTGGTCCAGCACTTGCTTTGAAGAAACCGCACAAATTACAATATCAACTAGCTTGATTGCTTCAACAAGGGTTTCTTCATCTTGCAATGAACCCTATGAAAACATCACATTAGCCGAATGAGAATCAGGAAAAAAACAAGAATAGGAATAGAAAAGTGGTGAGGAACCTTTAGAAGAGTGACGCCGGAGTTGGAAAGTAAAAGAAGCTTTTGGGATTTTTGGGGATCTGAATACGCTGAATCTCTAACGAGACCAAATGTAGGATGAGATGCTTTGATGCTGGCGTCAGCGAGTTCAAAACCTAGGCGGCCAGTTACTCCGATTACCAATATCTTGCTCTTCATTTCCTTCATCATCTCCCCTTATACCCCGCCTCCTATCCCGGTGACCAGAGCTCCGGCTTCCGATAGGTGATGCCGAACTCCACTACCGCCGTCGTTTCCAATGAACTTCACCTTTCACTATCTTGTTTGATTCTGGCAATAGGCTCTGCCACCATTTGATGTTCAGGTTTGTCTATTCAAATTATATCAAAATCTTTCCTTATTCAAAATATATTTTTAGTATAAAATTTATAAATTATAAACAAATATAATAATTAAAATCATTGTCCAAAATTTATCATCATTAACCAAGAAAAGTCAATATGTCAAACATTTTTGGGACAAAGGTAGTATTCAAATGAAATATATTTACGTACGTATGTTTAGTATTTAATACTACCTCCGTCTCAAATTGATTTGGAAAAGTGATTTTTTTGGTCAAATAATTTTAAATGTATTTTATTGTTGTGAAGTTAGTCTGTGCACTTACCAATAGGAGTGTTAAGTGTGGCGGTAACACTCTAAGTTACGTTGTTAATAAAGTTATAATTTTCTTATAAAATTTCCAAGTTATTCAGGTGGGAAATTGGGAGTGTTACAAGTTGTTATCAGAGCCCCAGATTTGTTTTTCAAGAGGATTTTTCAAAAACATTTTTTTCTAAAAACTAGGGAAAGTAAAAAGACTAGAAAAAAAGTAAGATTTTTAGGACCGCAGTGAGGACGATGAGATTTCTTAATGTTGCTATATACTATCCTCCGTTCCGTTTTAATCGCAACATGTTGAATTTTTCACTATTCACATGTTCTACTTTGACTACATTTTACGTTATTATTTTATAAAAAATATTTTTTTAAAAAAATGATCAATACATCTCATTACAAATATTCAAAATCTGATTTTTAATATTTTTTACTAATAGAATTAAGATATATTCCCTCCGGTCCTAAATAAAGTTCACACAAATTAAGAAAATAAATTTGACTTTACTGTAGAGTACACTTGATGGATAGTGTACCTGGGGGGTAGCTTATCCGAGGGGTTATTGCGGAGAATAACTAGAGAGAAGTTAGAGCAAATATGTAAGAGAGAGAGTGTATATTCGATATGTGAACTCGTGGTTTACAATGGGGAAATGGGCTGCTATTTATAGCAGCAATAAATGCAAGACAGGGACACGTGTCAAGCATCCGACGGCCGAGGGTCACCTCAATCGGGGTGGCACCGACATTTGCATGTGGTCGCATTAAATGCGATGGCTGGATGTGACGTTGTACTTGGTACGGTGATTCGGACGCATGTGGAGAGGATATTCTGTCGAGGAAGGTGCCTTCGGCTGTAAATGACAAGCCGAAGGCTCTTCGTACCGGGGGCCTCTTAGTACCGAGGGCTCCTAGTGCCGAAGGCTCGGTTTTCAAGCCTTGTTCTCCTGTGATGTTTCTGAGCTCGACTCTGTCAACGGTAGCCTTCAGCCATGGGGACGAAGGCACCCATTTGCGTATTGTGGGCTTCTTAGAGCTTCATCTTGTTGGGCTTGACTCGTTTGGGCCTGTTGGGCCTGATTGCAGTAGTGGAAGTATGTGGGCCAGGGGTCCCTGGGCCATATACTCCATCAAGAGTCCCTCACTCCTTTTGCCGAAAGGTACTTGAGGGGAAAGGAGTAATTGTGTTTGTCCTCTGATGTTGTCTTGGTGTAGTTTGTAATACGCTCTAAACAGAAGAACACACAGCAATATAAGAGTGTCACAAATACTTAGCTTTATCTCTGTGATTTAGCGTTTTCAGCATAAATATAGCACTTTTAGCGTAAATGCAGTCTTATTTTAGATATTAGGTAATCATCCCTTGTAATATCAAAACTGGGGTCTGAAGACGAGTTTTAGAACTCGATAAGATCTTTCCAACGAGATAGAAAACGCTTTCAACGGAACAAAATAGAGCAAGATATGATCGGATCAAATTCTACACGAGTTTGAAGGGAAATCTGAAATATTTGTGAAATTATGGTTAATATGTACCTTTTGATTAATGCATTGTAAATGAAATTGGAACAATAGCTTTAGAACTCAAAATTATCTTTCCAACGAGATATTATACGCTCTAAACGGAAGAACACAAAGCAAGATATGAGTGTAACAAATACTTAGCCTTATCTCTGTGATTTAGCGTTTTCAGCGTAAATAGAGCACTTTTAGTGTAAATACAGTCTTGTTTTAGATATTAGGTAATCATCCCCTTATATATCGAAACCGGAGCGTGAAGACGATTTTTAGAACTCAACAAGAACTTTCCAACGAGATAGGGAACGCTTTCAACGGAACAAAATAGAGCAGCATATGATCAGATCAAATTCTACACGAGTTCGGAGTGAAATGAGAAATATTTGTGAATTTATGGTTAATCTGTACCTTTTACTTAATGCATTGTAAATGAAGTTGGAACAATAGCTTTAGAACATAAAATTATCTTTCCAACGAGATATAATACGCTCTAAACGAATAACACACAGTAAGATATGAATGTCACAATTAGTTAGCCTTATTTATTTATGTGATTTAGAGTTTTCAGCATAACTAGTGCACTTTTAGCGTAAATACAGTCTTATTTTACAAATTGGGTAATCATCCCTTGATATTTCGAAACCGGTGACTGAAGACGAGTTTTAGAACTCCATAAGATCTTTCCAGCGAGATATAAAACGCTTTTAACGGATTAAAATAGAGCAATATATGATCGGATCAAAATCAACACGAGTTCAGAATGAAATCAGAAATATTTGTGAATTTATGGTTAATATGTACCTTTTACTTAATGCGTTTTAAATGAAGTTGGAACAATAGCTTTAGAACTCAAAATTATATTTCCACCGAGATATAATATGCTCTAAACCGAAGAACACACGACATGATATGAGTGTCAACAATACTTAGCCTTATCTATGCGATTTAGCATTTTCAGCGTACATAGAGCCTTTTTAGCGTAAATCCAGTCTTGTTTTAGAAACTATGTAATCATTCCTTGAGATTTCGAAACCGGTGCCTGAAGACTAGTTTTAGAACTCGATAAGATCTTTCCAACGAGATAGAAAACGCTTTCAACGGAACATCATAGAGCCAGATATGATCGGATCGAATTCTACACGAGTTCGAAATGGAATCTGGAATATTTGTGAATTTATGGTTAATCTGTACCTTTTACTTAATGCATTGTAAATGGAGTTTGAACAATAGTCTTAATACTCAAAATTATCTTTCCAACGAGATATTATACGCTCTGAACGGAAGAACACACGGCAAGATATGAGTGTCGCAAATACTTAGCCTTATTTATGTGATTTAGCGTTTTCAACGTACATAGAGCCTTGTTAGCGTAAATACAGTCTTGTTTTAGAAATTACGTAATCATCCCTTGATATTTCGAAACCAGTGCTTGAAGACGAGTTTTAGAACTCGATAAGATCTTTCCAACAAGATAGAAAATGCTTTAAACGAAACATCATCCAGATATGATCAGATCAAATTCCACACGAGTTCGGAATGGAATCAGGAATATTTGTGAATTTATGGTATATCTGTACCTTTTACTTAATGCATTATAAATAAAGTTGGAACAATAGCTTTAGAACTCAAAAATAATCTTTCCAACGAGATATAATACGCTCTAAAAAGAAGAACACACAACGAGATATGAGTGTCACCAATATTTAGCCTTATCTATGTGATTTAACGTTGTCAGCGTACATAGAACCCTTTTAGCGTAAATACAATCTTGATTCTGAAATAAAGTAATCATCCTTTGATATTTCGAAACCGGTGGCTGAATACGAGTTTTAGAACCCCATAAGATCTTTCCAACAAGATAGAATACACTTACAACGGAACAAAATAGAGCCAGATATGATCGGATCAATTTCTACACGAGTCCGCAATGGAATCAGGAATATTTATGAATATATGGTTAATATGTACCTTTTAGTTAATGCATTGTAAATGAAGTTGGAACAATAGCTTTAGAAATCAAAATTATCTTTCCAACGAGATATAATACGCTCTAAACGGAAGAACACACAACAAGATATGAGTTTCACAAACACTTAGCCTTATCTCTGTGATTTAGCGTTTTCAGCTTAAATAGAGCATTTTTAGCGTAAATACAGTCTTGTTTTAGATATTAGGTAATCATCCCTTGATATATCAAAATAGGCGCCTGAAGATGAGTTTTATAAATTAATAAGACCTTTCCAACGAGATAGAAAATGCTTTCAACGGAACAAAATAGAGTAACATATGATCGGATCAAATTCTACACGAGTTCCGAGTGAAATCAGAAATATTTGTGAATTTATGATTAATCTGTACCTTTTACTTAATGCATTGTAAATGAAGTTGGAACAATAGCTTTAGAACACAAAGTTTTCTTTCCAATGAGATATAATACACTCTAAACGGAAGAACACACAACAAGATATGAGTGTCGTAATTACTTAGCCTTATATATGTGATTTAGAGTTTTCAGCGTAAATAGAGCACTTTTAGCATAAATACAGTCTTGTTTTACAAATTAGGTAATCATCACTTGATATTTTGAAAACGGTGACTGAAGACGAGTTTTAGAACTCGATAAGATCTTTCCAACAAGATAGAAAACGCTTTCAATGGAACAAAATAGAGAAAGATATGATCGGATCAAATTCTACACGTGTTCGGAATGAAATCAGAAATATTTGTGAACTTGTGATTAATCTGTACGTTTTACTTAATGCATTGTAAATGAAGTTGAACAATAGCTTTAGAACTCAAAATTATCTTTGCAACGAGATATAATACGCTCTAAACGGAAGATATGAGTGTCACAAAAACATAGACTTATCTATGCGATTTAGCGTTTTCAGCGTACATAAGCACTTTTAGCGTAAATACAGTCTTGTTTTACAAGTTAGGTAATCATCCCTTGATATTTCGAAAACGGTGACTGAAGACGAGTTTTAGAAGTCGATAAGATCTTTCCAACGAGATAGAAAATGCTTTCAACGGAACACAATAGAGCAAGATATGATCGGATCAAATTCTACACGAGTTCGGAATGGATTCAGAAATATTTGTGAATTTATGGTTAATCTTTACCTTTTATTTAATGCATTGTAAATAAATTTAGTAAAGGACCGAGCATTGGGTGTTCTTCGCAAATGATTTGTGCAACAAATTGAATCAGAATTCATGACATACTGTATATTGTGTTACATTGACAAATGTGTTTTTTTTATTTTGAGAATGAAGTCATTGTGAGGCGATTTTACAGTATAGCACCTTGAAGACAAAGATTGCTACCTCCCAATAATTTTCATTCATTTGACGCATCAGGTTCTAATTAAATTAATTGTTTTATTTATTTTATATTTTTGTTTATTGCTAATCAAACTTTATCTTAATTTACAACTTCATTTCCTTATATATGTAACTTAATTCAGTACTTATATCGCTTAGAAAATCAAAATTAAAAAGGAAAAGTAATGTTCGACAAATTTAGATGACCTGGGCGACCGATTAGGCGTTCTGGGCGGGCAACTAGGTGCCATAGGCGGTCGACTAATTCACCTAGATGGCAAACCAATTAATCGGAGCGTCTAGACGAAAATCGAGGCGCCCGGCCACCGCCTAGTGCCTAGACGGGGATTAGTCAGGTGCCTAGAACAATTTTTAGAACAGGGGTAGTAGTACTACGTATAATATTATGAAAGTTATGAATTTTATACTTTTATGAAAGTAATTTTAACAGAATATTTTTATATTATTTTTATACATAATATTATAAATAATTTTTAATAAAAAGATATAGTCAATCAAAGTTTAAAAATGGAAAAGTTTTTTGGGAGAGATGTGGTATTATATTGATGATATATATGATTTATATGCCCTTCCAAGATCTCCCATTTGGGTTAACCATAGCTTATCAATTACTACCTCCGTTCCAAAATTAACTTCCCATTTCGGATTACGATGCTTGACCGATGATAAAGCAACTCGATCCCTGTTCTTACTCAGATTACTTTTACTACATAAAATTTACATATTGAGAAACTAAATTAAAACCGCTACAAAGGCTGATACTCCTTCCGTCCCGAATTGAATTGTAAATTTTGACCGGCACAAGGATTAAGAAATGACAATAAATGATGTTTGCTTTTTACACTTTTGCCCATCTTTCTAAAAGTAGATGTCTTTAGGTTAATGGGGAAAAAGTAAAAGTAAGGGTAAATTTGTCACTTTATTCTTATTCACATACCTAAAATAGAAAGTGGAAAACCATTTTGGGACAACCAAAAAAGGAAATTTTGCAAATCAAATTGGGACGGAGGGAGTATAAAAAATATAAATTTGATAAAAATTTGATATATAAAACATAAGATTAAGAGTAATTTAAGGGTACCATGTGAATAGTGATTGTGAAGTTCATTTTGGGACGGAGGGAGTATATAACATAAATAAATATTAACGTTTATTTATTGAGTTTTGAATATTATCAAATAACTAAAATAAATTCATTGAGTTTTGAATATTAACGTTGTTTTTCTAACATTTCTCTTAAATTATCTTGTGCTATTCGTATATTTGAACCTACAGTTCATATATCGTGGGATCATCCCACGGTGAGCACCATGCTCCGCTCCCAAAAAGACGTAGTTTTACACATTTTTTTTAAATCGCGTGAATAGCACACAGATGTACACTAACTGTTTTTTTTGTCCCAGTTGCATGAATTATGTAACTCTAGTGTAAAGAAATGTAGCTAACGTCATTGATCAATGTAACTCGAGTCCAGTCGAAATATACTTGTCAAATACATAGTATAAAAAACAAAACATTGATTTCAATGTAAACAATAAAAAAAGATTCTAATTGCACAATTACTTTACGTAAATCAAGAATATGTTTTGTTTTTAATATCATTACCATAAAAAAGATTTTTTTAAAAAAACTCATTTTTTCGTTTCAATAGCAGGGTTGATTTTTTTATGTAACTCATGTTATTACAAATGTAACTCGCGTTGAATGCAAATGTAACTTAGGTGTATATAGAATGTAACTTGTTCAAAAATTGAACAATGTTTTTTTGTGTTTGAATTGAGAATATAATATATATGTATTTTTATTGATGAATATGTCTTATTTTTAATATTAGGGCTACAAAAGTGATATAGTTAAAATATCATTTTTAATCATTAGTAGAGTTTATTTCGTGGTGTAACTCGCGTACATTAGAATGTAGCTCATGTACATTAATATGTAACTTGAGTGTGGGAAAGATGTAAGTTGAGTGTGTCTAAGATAATTCATCCCGGTCATCTTCTCAACATGTAACAACCTAAAGCTTGATCCACTCACTAAGGTAAGACATCAACTATTTCCGCCATTTGACCTCGTACAAAGTCTCTCGGAGCTTTCCAATTGAAGGAGGCAGAGTCTGATCAAAGCAGGGACAGGCCCATGCTATCACCTAGGGGGCCATTGCCCCCCCCCCCCCCCCCCCCAACTTTTTTTACCTAGTAGTATTAGTTATATTTTTTCTGGCCCCTCCCAAACCTTTTGTTTTGGACTATTATATTAGCACTTTCATATGATGAAACATAAGATCAAGTGCTAAACACTCTTAAAAAACGGAAGGCCAGGACAGTTGGGCCTAATTGCCAAAAGCCCTATTACTCTATTAGATCCAGTAAGTTATAGTCCAATACTCTAATTCAACTTTTAATAGAAAACTAGGTTTGCACGCTTGCACAGGAGCCGCCGATGGGATCGTGAGCTACTCGCCTGCTCTGCTGTTGAGACTCCAGACTCGTCTGAGAGCTTTTTCCATCAAACGGGGAACAACGGCAAAATTATTTAGCATTCCATCGTTTGCTCCTAAGGTAAAATATTAAACTTTAGTGATTATTAAAATTGTAAGTATTTTAAGCATTTTGATGTTTTTCATCTATTAGATATGAGATTCTTTATTTGTTATTACTGTTATAAAACATAGGAATACAGTTTAGGAATATGAGATTCTAATTTTTTTTGAAAAATTATAATGCTTGAATTATTAGTTCAAAAATGAGTGATATGCGGTTTTTTGTCATTTAAAAAAAATGTCATTTTTTAGAGAAAAATGCATTTTTACACCGATCGGAGGTGATGTAAAAATGACATTTTTTAAGAGAAAATGCCATTTTTACAGAGAAAAATGGCATTTTTTAGAGAAAAATATATTTTTTACACCCTCCCCCCTCAATGATATCCTGGCTCCGTCCCTGGATCAAATGTTTGTGCATAGATCAAATGTTGAAGAGCAAAGAATCTGATTAATCTGTAACTAGGTTGAAGAACGTGAGACATTATGTGGCTCCAAGCCTCCATTCGGGTGTTGCTCTGATTTGGCTGCGTCGGTGCACTTAGCCGTTGCGGCGGAAGATGACCGATCATCGTTGTTCTGTTATTGTTTGAAAGAGTCTTTTGTTTTTAATTAATAAAGTGATGCCATTTTGAGATCAGCACAGCATGAGCATGGTGAGCTGATCCCACAGTATTTGCGTTGAACCTACTATAGAAAGCTTAGCATAGGGCTATAGGAGTTGCCGAAATGTCTAAGCTGCTTTAATTTGGACAATATTTTTAGATTTGATTATATTTAAATTTTAAATGAAACAGATGAGAATTAGGTAGAAAAGTATAAATTTAAACTTGATCAAAATTGGATAAAAATAAAAACACAAATTGTATTAACCATTAATTTTTTTCCCCACGAAATCCCAATTTAAAGAGATTATTGTAATTGCTCTAGATAAGACTAAAAATTCCCTAAAATGCACAAATAGGACTACTACATTTTTAACCATCCCAAATAGGACTAAACTTTGATTCCTATCAGAAATGCCCCTAAGGTAATATTTCATAATGAAATTTTATAGTTCATAATAAAATCTTAAAAAATAATAAAAATCGTAAAACATATTAAAAAATCGTAAAAAATAACAAAAAAAAAAATAAAAAATATTTTTTTTAATTTTTTTTTTTAAAATTAATAAGAGATAGTAAAAACCCATAAAAAATAAAAAAATGGATGCCTTTCCCACCGCCTCCCAGCATCACCACCTTCGATCGGTAAAAATTGTGCCATTTTCATTAAAAAATCATTTTTCCTGAAAATGCCAAGAAAATGACATTATTACTCTTCATAATGCGACAATTTTCATTGAATCTGCTATTATTATGTTGACAGTTTTTTTAAAACAAATTAATAAAAAATAGTTAGAACCCATACAGAAATAAAAAAAATATGGATACCTCCGATCGGTGAAAATTCTGTCATTTTTTGTAAAAAATGTCATTGTTATCTGAAAATGCCAAAAAATGGCATTATTACTCATCATAATGTCAAACGTCTCATTGAATCTGCCATTACTATGGCATTACTTAAAATGTAGGCAAATTTCCAACATTTGATAGGAGCTGGTGGTGCTGGGGGTGGCAGAGGTGGCGGCGTTTTTTTTTTTACATTTTTAATTTTTTTTGTTTTTTATTTTTATTTTTTAATTTTTTAATTTTTTATTTTATATATATTTTATAAATTTTTTAATATTGTTTGAAGTTTTTGTTATTTTTTTATGTTTTTATTTTTTTATGATTTTATTATTAATTAAGGTATTTCAAATATTAGAAGGGTATATTTGTCCACACACATAACTATTCATACTAGAGGGAATTAAAAACATGTAGTCTTATTTATTTGTATTCTCGAACCACTTTTTTGAACTATTTTAGGTAATTAACTCAAGAGATTATTAGACCGTCAAAAATTCAACAATAAACATCAACCATATTGCAATCCAGCACGTTAATTCAAAAGAGGCGGCGGGGACTAGCTGTCTGGCGCCATCTAAAGGAACCGTTCCAAAAATAAAATCGCGTCTACAATATACGTATTTTGCGGGTATAACTTCAATCAGATATTAATTCTATATTCAACCGATCGGACAAACAGAAATCATAATCATCGATTAGATCGATCGAATCCATGGAATCGTTGAAGGAGGACGAAGAATACAATTGGAGGGAAGTGAAGCTCCCGTCGCTGATACCGGTGGTTCCGCCGCCAGAACTGGACAGGGAGACCGGAGAGCGGCGCAGAGGCCGGGACATAATCATTGCTATCGATCACGGCCCTAACAGCAAACACGCTTTTGATTGGGCCATCGCTCATCTCTGCCGTCTCGCCGATACCATCCATCTCGTCCACGCCGTTTCCAGTATGATTTTATTCAAATCCACCATATATCGCAAGTGCTCTTCCGATCCATATATGTGTGTTTTGTTCTTCTAAGCTCTAACCGTTATGTTTGTGCCAGGCTTGAAAAATGAGATTGTGTACGAGATGACACAAGGGCTTATGGAGAAGCTTTCCGTCGAGGCTTTTGAAGTTGCCATGGTAATTTCACCCTTCCTTCAACTTTATGACAGGCTATGATGTACGGAGTATCTCTTTCTTAGACTATAGAGATCAAAATTGATACTCCCTCCGTCCCGGTCATTTCTTTCGGTTTTGACCGGTATCACAAATTTAGGTAGTGGTAATAAAGTGAAAATGTATGATTGTAGTTGTGTAACAAAAAGGTGAATAAATGTGAACTACGTATTTTTTCCAAAAGTGGAAGAATTAATTGGGACGACCCAAAAAGGAAAGTTGGAAGAAATGACCAGGAGGGAGGTAGTATTAGCTTTCCTCCATTTTTTTACTATGTATTCTTCTTAAAAGCCCATATAGGGAAGGATGACACTCCATCCCTGAGGGCCCCCAACCCCGACCGGACTGTACGTTAGGAGAATGTAAGTTGGACTATAATCACAATCTCTCGTGAACTTGCAGAGGCCCTATGCATTTTAATACTCTCTGAGGGCCCCCAACCCCGACCGGACGGTACGTTAGGAGAATGTAAGTTGGACTATAATCACAATCTCCCCGGAACTTGCAGAGGCCCTATGCATTTTAATATGTATTCTTCTTAGTTGTATATGTTGCTTTCACTTTGCTACTTTGCTCGTTTACTAGGTAGGATTAATATGTACTCCCTCTATCCCTCTACATTTGCCCCGTTTTACCTTTTTGATTCGTCCCATTAAGTTTATCACACACTCGGTGGCGGATTTTGCAAGTAAATGTTGGATGTTTGAAATTACTTTATCATTAAGATGTTACCTAATAGTACAATATCTAAATTATTACACAAATTCTTTACATGTATGTTTACACCTAATTTTTAAAAATTTTAGATGTTCACTTGAAATTTATACATAAAATTCTATACATAAGTACAATTTATGTACAATTTGTTTACACCAATTTTGTACAATTTATAAATTTGTTCAAACAAATTTGTTTAAACCAATTTTCAATTTTGTTTACACCAAATTCTATACATAAGTACAATTTATGTTGTACTTGAAATAACATAGAGTTGACATGGATAATTTAATACAGAGTAATTTCTAGGCTGGGACTTGGAACTGTAAAATCGGGAAAACCGATCCGAATTGAACCGAATTTTCCGGTTCGGTGCGGATCATATAATATTGGACTTCAACTTTTTTCGATTCGGTTCCTATAGTATTTGATCGGTTCCGGTTCGGTTCCAGTTCAGTTCCGGTTCCTAGGCAGGAACTGAACTTCTTATACGCTGCATGAGTAATCTTCATTTGAAGTGCTTTTGGGTGGAATTTTTTGATGAAATTTTGTAAGCTTTCTTTTTCATGAAATTTAGACTATGCCCACCAAATGTGAGTTTAAAATTCAATAGGGAAATCATTTAAATAAATTTTTGAAAAACACTACACCAAAATTTATATAAAAAACGCAATGTTTTTCAATATTTTATTTGACTCACTTTCCGATTGAATTTTAAGTTGAAATTTAGCGGATTTAATCTACACTTCATGTAGAATATGCTTACAAAATCTCATCAAAAAAAGCTACATGGAAGCACCTCAAATGGAGGTGGCCAGATGGCGTTCTGAGCAGAGAATTCTTGTGAGGAATATTAGTCTTGGATAATATTACGTGTACCTTATATATTGTGGAATAGGCCAATCCAAGTAGTTGTTATTTTACTACTGTAGTCCACTTTTATATTTATTGTTTGTTTGTAATTGTATTTGTTATTTGAGTTCCCCTAAAAAGGAATTATCAATATTACCGATCAGTTTATTACTACGTACTTTTTACTTATGATTATACTAGTAGAAGAATATTATCTTGGGGTTGAATGATCTGCTATTGGATGAGTATCTTGAAGCTATTTAACTTTTTTGCTTGACAGTTGATGCTTATTTTAAACCTTTATGTTTTTGTTATGTTTAAATTTAATGTTTACACTTGGATATTTTTTATTATTTGAACGTTGAGATATCATGTATGTATATAGTCATAATTTCATGATTTGCAATTTGAATTTTTTTATGTAATTGAAGGTAAATTGTATTCATTTTAGGAGGATAATAAATTTTTATAAGGAACCGAATTTAACTAGAACCAAACCGAATTTAACTAGAACCAAACTGAATTTAACAATTACAATTTTAACTAGAACCGAATTGAAGTTAATTCCTACAATTTTTAATACGGTTCCATCGAATTTTAACAAGAATCGAACCGATCCTAAGCCTAGTAATCTCCGTTCTTCTCTAAAATCCGCACATATACTTAATTGGATACGGTCTAGTTTAATTAACCACCCGTACACCAGGGTCCCTGCATTTTCAGAATTTGTAATGGTTGCTATGAATGAAAATAAAAAAATTTGGAGCATTTATTGAATCAGGTAAAGACGCAGGCTAGAATTGTGGAAGGAGAAGCAGGTAAGGCTATATGCAAGGAAGCAGAAAGGTTGAAGCCCGCAGCTGTGGTTATGGGTACTAGGGGAAGAGGCTTAATCCAAAGGTCTATACTCTCCCTTTCTAAGGCTATGATTGGAACAGAGAAATTGGTTGGGCATGGCAAAAAATAATACATGAAAATGCTTTTTTTATGTTTGGTTTTACCGCAGAATATATGCTGAAAAAACAAATTTAGCTGGAACTTTTTCAAATGTTTCATTTATTTAGACTTTGTAGTCTTTCCCTATACATTATCAAATAAAATGAGTTTGAAATTGATATATTTAGTTTGAAGCAAATTATTATTTTCCCCCACATTTTCTTTATTTTAAGTGTACTTGCTTGCATTTTTCATAATGTATGTATAGCTTATTTTCTTGTTTCATTTCCTTTCAGTGTCTTACAAGGTAGTTTTAGTGAGTACTGCTTTCACAACTGTAAAGCAGCTCCTGTAATCATAGTACCTGGAAAAGGTATCATTTCTACCATGCTTCTATGCCTATTTTTTTTTTGCTTTCTCCAACTTTTGACTTATGGAATTTAATCTTTGCAAACTGAAGATGCTGGAGATGAATCAGTGCTTTAGTGGATCTAAGGTTTGGCTTTGATTTGTGACCGATATATTTGGTAGCTGTAGCTGTTTTATGTAGATCAGGTGACCTTACTAAGTATTGTTGATTTGCTTGACCATATATCAAAGAATTATGTAATACATTGGTGTATTGCGATGAGTGTGTGTGTTCGGGTGTGTTGTCTTACCTGTCTATTAGTCTATATTGGTTAATGGAAATCTTGTTGAAACACCAAAACTATCTGTCCAAAATCTTTTTGTAATACAACCATCATGTTATTTTATATTTTAAGTTATGGTTCTGACTCAATTTACAATGCATCAACTACTAGTTTTTACTCAACATTATCTATGTAGAGTACTTATGGAACAAACAGGTCTCTATAGTGCACCAAAGGGAAAGTGTTTCCAGGACAAGAAATATTGTTCAAGTGAGTAGGTGGTGTGAGTTGGTCCATAATCATATTCTGAAAAATCACTTTTTCAAAATCACGGGACCAAGGACAGTGCATGTAATGATGATGGTTGATGAGAAACTAAAACGTATTGCAAGGACCCATTTTAAAATTTAAATGTAGTGTACAATAAATATGCACCGTTTTATTTTGTTAATACAGCATTTTGTAAAGCTTCAATTGAGTCATTTGTTAACCAAACACTCGCTTCTGTTTTGATTATTTAGTGAATTATCAACCAAAAATATTCAAGTCAAAGCATGGCGAGGGATTAGGAGATCATTCCATCCTTTATCGAGGAAGGAATTAGAAGAGCCAAAACAACTTCTTTCCCTAAGATTATAAATTGCTTCAAAAATAATCTTCATATGACTATTTGGAATATAATCACATTATTGCAAATATTCTTTCTCTGAGATTTTAATTTTTTTTTGGAAGAAGAGTGGCTTATAACATTCAGATAAGGAACAAACAGATAAAAAGATCACTCCCAACTGTTAGCCCTCGTATAAGACTTAGAGCCCGTTTGGTAGCACAAAAATCGGCTGATTTGGCTGATTCTGCTGAAATTTATGAATTTTTACCTGAAGTGGCTGATTCTGCTGATTTAAGAAAAAATAATTTAAAAATATATTTTATTAGTAAAATAAGGAAAAAATTATATGTAAAAATAGCTAAAATGGTCATATACAGTAACTTCAGCCAATACAGCCAGAAAAGTAACTCCAACCTTACTTTTTCTGCTTATTACACAATTCAGCGCGTGAAAGCAAAAGTTACGTGTTTGGTGAAAAAAATGGCTGATAAGTCTGATAAGCCGAAAAACAGTGTTGCCAAACGGCCTCTTAGAGTCAATCACCTTCCAGAAAGCAATATGACTCGTTAATCCTGTAATGTGCATGACTGAGCCAAAGACGTTCAAAACAGATCTCTCATAACTCAATCCTAATGCAAGAATCCGGCAAAACAAAAAATAGAACGTGAAAACAAACATTGTTTGACCAAAGGAAAAACAAAAAAAAAACATTATTATAACCGAGTTGTATCCCCATAACCATGAGGAGTTCCCGCTGTTCATCCTTGCCATAAAGCTTCATTAGAATGCTTGGCGGGTCTCAAATTACCTCCTGGTACAAAGGTGGTTCTGGAGGAGGACAAGTTGATGCAGTATGCGTAAAGGCCAACTTCCTTTTCCACATTCCTTTTTTGATGAAATTCCGACCACTGCACCATCTGTCTCATCTTCGCTCACCAGACCTTTATCTTCATCCTCCATAGTCAACCTGTAGTAGTACTATCAATTGAAATCACAACTTTCGAACAAACTGCTGACCGCACGTGTTAAACCCCATCGGAAAAATAACTCATAGAAAACCCTAGAGAACAATCGCGGCTCAAAGCTACAATCCACTGGTCACAAAAATTGAAAAGCAAACTCGAAACTCCAAAAAAAATCAATTACCGCAGCAAAGGCCTAGAGACCTGGCGAGCATGATACTGTTGATGCGCCGAACGAGGGAGCGTTAGATGCGTTGCGCCGCCACTGCTAGGGTTTCATTGCTCTCCTCACTATATGTTGTAGTTTCACAACTCTGAGATTTTGAATTTTATTCTTCATATTAGGATGATTCATTTTAGTTGAATTTGCTAAAAGATGTAATGATTAAATTTCATATATTGTATACTCCCCCGTCCCTATATAAAAACATTCCTTCATTTTCCACACATTTTAGAAAAGTGGGATGTGTTGGTATTGTTTGGACAATGTTTGACATTGTTTTTGTATTGTTTTGCACTATTTTGTTTGACACAAAAAAGAAAAGAGGATGTTTATTTAGGGACGGTCCGGAAAAAAAACAGAAGCTTTTATTTATAGACGGGGAGTATTAGCTAAAAAAGTACTACTTGATTGGTTGATCATTACAAATACGTTAAAGTTATTATCATATTTATCAAATTCGTAGAAATTTTACTAATTGTAATGAGTAGTGAATTTGATACATGATAACGAGTATAACTCACTCAAATCGATGTATAGGCCAATCTGATAGGAGTAATCTACATGACTTATGGTCATTTTAGGTGAAGTAAAAATGCTATCATAGCCTTTTTAGGAGTGTTTTCGTGATCGCTTCTTTTTGTTTAAAAGTGATTTGCATAGTGATTTTAAAGAAAATGTTCAATAGTAAAAAATGACAACATCAAAAAAGTGATTTTGAAAACTCAACGTATTTAATCTCATTGCCGACATACTTCGTGACAGTATTAAATCAGATTTAATTAAAAATAAAAGACACAGAATAAACACTTACATTTACATAATGAAAAACATAATAACATTCTAAATAAATTTTTTTTAGAAATTATTCTAGGTAGGACTAAAGATTTTTAAAATGCACAAATAGAACTACTACATTTTAAACCCTCCCAAATAGGACTAAACATTGATTTCTACCATAAATACCCTTAAGGGTATTAATTCATAATGAAATATTTTATTTCATAATAAAATCTTAAAAATAATAAAACATCGTAAAAATAGTTAAAAAATTTAAAAAATAATAAAATAATAATAAAATATTTATAAAAAAATAAAAAATATGTTTTTTTTAATTTGTGTTTAAAACATTAATAAAAATAGTAAAAATCCATAAAAATGGATACCTTTCCCATCGCCTTCCAGCACGACCACCTCCGATCGGTGAAAATTTTGCCATTTTTGTAAAAAAATGTCATTTTTCTGAAAATGCCCGAATAATTGCAAGAAAATAACATTATTACTCTTCATAATGCCAAAATTTTCATTGAATCTGTCATTATTACGGCAGATTACTAAAAATGTTGGCAAATTTACAACTGGTGATGGGAGCTGGTGATGCTGGGGGTGGCAGAGGCGGCGGCGTTTTTTTATGTTTTTATTTTTTTATTTTTTATTTTTTTAAAATTTTTTTAATTTTTTTATAAATATTTTATAATGTTTTTAGTTTTTTACGGTTTTTTAATATTTTTTATGTTATGATTTTATTATTAATAAAGACATTTCAATAGATAAAAGGATATATTTGTCCAAACACACATAAATAGTCTTATGGGGGAGATTTAAAAGATTTTTAGTCTTATTTCTGCTCTTTGACCATTTTTTTGTCCTATTTAAATAATTCACTCAAACTTATTTAATTGAGATCGTATCTAAATAAAAAAAAAAACTTGGTAATTCGAATAAATACTCATCAAGTTACGAAACTTTCTTCCCAGTTCCCACTAACATACCTGCTACATAGTATCTTCCTAAATGTTGTAGTTTTGATTGTTACAAAACGGTAGGAGTGGGCAAAATATTCGATCCCATTGGTCCATTCCGGAATGTTTCGGTTCCGTTTTGAAATCGTCCCGTTATATTTGGGACACATTATTTTTGACTCGTACCGGTCCCAAACCGTTTCAAAACAAAACGGGTCCGGAACAAGTAAAATATATCTCATTCTGTTCCGTTGTCCCGAATCCAAAACTGTACTTTTGTAGTAGGTTATTGTGGTCTACCAACAAGTCATTATGTAATTCAAATAATAATAAATATCGTTTTTTCTCAAACCCAAATACCAATGATTATTAAGATACTAGTCGTTTAACAACAGAGCACCCATGATTCTAAAAATCAGCCTAGGCACCTGCCAAGGCGGCGCCTAGTCGCTAGACGGTGCCGGGCGCCCGATTCCGCTCTAATCGGTGGAAAAAAACGTTTCGGGGCCTAGGCGGCTTGTACTAAAAATTTTCCCGAACCAATTTTTTCCCCCGTTTTATCTTAAAACATCGTGTGATCAAGAAGTATTCTATTCCTATATAATTTACTTTTATATTCTCACAATAAAAAAAATTGAACATAAATAAACTTGTTAGAATGTATTTTAAGACTAGAGAGTAAAAACACAAATATCTTAATTTATTTATTAATTATTTTATTATTGATTCTACTATAAAAAACTTAACATCTAATGATTATATGAGCTATTTATATTTTCCAAATATTAAAAAATTATTAGTAACATAATTAAAATTCAAAGGAAATAAAAAGAAAACAAAAATTAATGGAAAAATACCCAGGCGCCCGCCTAGGCGGGCTAGGCGCTAGCCGGCCAGTCACCGCCCGACTAGCGCCTAGTGCCTTTTAGAACACTGAGAGCACCTAAAAAAATCCAAACTACCTAGTATGAACTATGAGCTATCATTTATCTGCAAAAAAGGAAATTGATTTTTACTCCCAAAGGCTTCACCTCTTATAGTATTATTTTATCATTTTCTACAGCTTTATTGATAGTTTTTTGTGTTAGAGTTTTTTTTCCTGCAACTTTTGTTTCTTGCGGCTAATTTGGTAGGTCGCATTTTTTCATCACAGATTTCTAGATTAGCTGCAATTTTTTTGTCATAGAGTTTTTTGCGCTAGTTTTTTTTCAAATAGCTTTATTTCATTTTTGAGATTGGATTTTTTCACTACAATATTTTGGGATGTCCTGAACCGTCCCGTTTTGTCCCGGTACCGGTTAAAATGGGACAACAAAAGGACAACTTCTTGTCCCGTTCCGTTCTGAAACGTTATTATAAATCGGGTTCGGTATCGGGACAACCCAATTTTCGTTCCATCCCGGATCGTGTCCACCCCTACAAAACGTAATTCAAAAAAAAAAAGGTAAAAGTCCGAATCAACGGTGCCAAGAGGTTATCGGTCATCGGAGAGGCCTATGGGGCTATGATGGGATGTTTTCTTTTGGACTGAAATTTGCGGGTCTGATCTGGTTTGGTCTGATCTGACTTGGTCTGACCTGAATTGGTTTGGTCTGATAA